CAGGACTTGCACCTCCCTGATAGTCCTTGGTGGGGCCATGTCGAGTATGGCCTTCACCTTATACTTATTTACTTCAATCCCTCTCTCTGTGACGACATACCCCAGGAATCGCCCCGCCTTCACTCCGAAGGCACACTTTCTCAGATTCAACTTCATTCCGAAAGCCCTAAGGGTTTCAAACGTCTCTCTCAAGTAGCCCGGATGTGAAATCGAGGATTTGCTCTTTACCAAGATGTCATCGACGTATACCTCCATATTTCTCCCAATCTGGGCTTTGAACATTCGGTCTATTAATCTCTGGTAAGTTGCTCCTGCGTTTTTGAGTCCAAAGGGCATGACAAGATAACAGTATGTCCCCTTACTCGTCACGAAGCTCACCTTGCTTTGGTCCTCTAGAGCCAAGGAAATTTGATGATACCATTGAGATGCATCCATAATACTTAGCAATTCGCAACCAGCCGTGGAGTCGACTAGCTGATCAATTATGGGTAAGGGATAATGGTCTTTGGGGCACGCCAAGTTCAAATCACGAAAGTCGATGCACATGCGCCATCTGTTCAATGCCTTTCTTACCATCACCGTATTCGATATCCACTCAGGGAGTTGGATCTTCTTTATGTGCTTGGCTTTTAGCAGCTTATCTACCTCGACTTTGATTGCTTTGTCGATCTCAGTCCCATGATGCCTGAGTCGCTGCTTTACGGGTTTTTTGAAGGGATCGACATTGAGTTTGTGCTCCATGACTTCTGGGTCGATTCCCGTCAACTCCTCAGGGGGAAAGGAAATATGTCCCTAAATTCCTTCAACAACTCCACCAACTGTCTACGCAATTTGTCCTCCAACTCTCTCCCAACTTTTGTGGTTTGGTCCTCCCTCTCCCCGATTTGGATTTCCATCAATTCTCCATGTGGCTCGAGGTCACTCCCTCTTGGCCTTTTCTCACTCGACATTGGTTTTTTTTCTTCCCTGATCTCTGCTTGCTGGTTGGTTTTTACTGCTATTTGATAGCAGGTTCTTGATAGTTTCTAATCTCCTCGAGCCTCTCCGACTCGATCTCCTACGGGAAACATCAATTTCATATTGTAAGTTGATACCACTGCTTGGAACGCGTTCAATGCTGGCCTCCTAAGAATCACATTGTAGGCTGACTCGACATCTACTACCACGAATCTCACCATTTTGACTTTCCTTAAGTCTCCTTCTCCCAGGACGACTGCGAGCATGGTTTCTCCTAAGGGTGCGACTTCTGAGCCGTTGAACCCAAAGAGCGATGTGTGGAGGGGTGTTAGTTTGAGGTCAAGCTCCATCCTCTTGAGACAATCATAGAAAATCACGTTCACAGAACTCCCGGTGTCGACAAACACCCTTTGTACCTCGTAACCCAACACTTGGGCAGTGATCATTAGAGCATCATTATCTGGCCTCTCGACTTCGCCTATATCTGCTGGCCCAAAGTTCATCACCGGGCCGTTCTCGTCGACTTGTTGCACCTCGGCTTTCCTGTGGTGCCCTCGAGCGTATGCCTTTCTGGCTCGATTGGAATCTCCGTCAGTCGATCCTCCGAATATCATATGAATTACCCCTCTCTTCTGGGGAGTTCCTCCTTCTCAGTTGTTCTTGCCCTCTTGCGAGGGCTCCTACTTCTTTCCCTTCGCTGACTGGTCCTCTCTTGATCCTTATAAATGAACTCCTTCAGATTTCCCGCTTTGATTAGCCTTTCGATTTCATCCTTTAGGTGCCTGCAATCGTCAGTGTTGTGCCAATAGTCTTTGGGAAATCGAAAATACAAATTGCTTTTGGGCTTTGTTGGTCCGTCCTTTCTCGTCCGAGGCCATCTGACGACATTGTCGTGGATCTCCTTCTCCATCACCTCCTTCTCCATCACCTCCAATATTCTTGCTTGCGGAGCCGACAAGGGGGTGTCTTGAGTCGACCTCCACCCTCTCGACCGCCCCTCCCTTTCTGCTCTCGGGGATCCTTTTCTTTCTACCGCCGAACTTGGTTTTTTATCCTTCTTCTCGTCTCGGGGTTCGATTTTTGCCTTTTCTGCTTGCAAGAAGTCGACTTCCGCCTCCTCGACATTCATGTATTTGGCACACCTTCCCAAGACTTCATCAAAAGTCCTCCCATGTCGCTTTGCCAGGGAGTTTCTGCACAACCCTGGGAGTAATCCTCTATTGAGTCCACCCAACTTAATCTCCTCAGTGGCCGAGGGTACGTCGACACACGCCTGCGTGTACCTCGCCACAATGATTCTCCTTCTTTCTGTTGCATACCTATCAAGGTAAGGTAAGATTTTTTTTGGGCCTTCACACTTGCGAATTGGTTTAGAAAACTTGAACTAAATCCGTCAAAGTTCCTGACAGCTCCCGGGGGCAGTTGGTGGAACCAATCTTACGCGGGTCCCCGCAGAGTCGTCAAGAACGCTTGACATTGAACAGGGTCATTGTAACGATGCAACACCGCCATGTTCTCAAAACTCCTCAGATGTTGAGAGGGATCAGTCGACCCATTGCACCAGATGTTGAGCTCTCTAAACCACTGGGGTAAGTCGGCATCTAGATTGTGTTGCGAAAAGGGGTGTCCTCTCGAGCTCCCCGTTTTTCTCCCCTCAACTCGAGCCTGCAAGTCTTGCACCTGAGCCATCAGCAACTCTAGAGTATCATCTCTCGCTTGTGGGTTAATGGTTCTGACAGAGGATTCTTCCTCGTCCACTCTCCTGCTCTGCCTTTCATGAGATTGTGCTTGTTGTTCACGCTCAGGGGGTGGTTTCTCAATCCGAGGTTGCTCGACCCTAGGCTGTTCGACTTGTGTCTGCTTAAGTTGGGTCCCTACTGCCTCAGCAATCATTTTTTGCATCGCGCCTCTCGTCATGGTCAGGGTCTGTTCCTCGACTCGGGGTGGTGACCTCGCTCCCTGCTCAAGTGGCCCAGGCTGCCTCTCCAAACTTAGAGATGTCTCGGTCGATTCCTGCCCATCGACTCCTCCACTCGTGCCCTTTACGTGGCTGGGACCCCCTTGCGTGAGTACTGGAATTTTGACCCCGGTGGCGTAATAGGCGTTTCCTCCTCCACACGCACTCCTGACGGCGCGTGTGTCCCGAACGGTGGGAAGCCGAACACTGGGCGTGGCGGCCTGGGGTTCGGAATCGGCGGAGTCCGCTTGTCCGTCCACGTTCCCCTGAAATCCTCGTTCAAATGCCTCTGTAATCCTTCCTTCTCAGCCATCAGAGACAGATCGGAGCTAGGTGCAAAGCTCTTAATTTCTTCAAGAACTCCCCACATGCGGCGCCACAATGATGGGTCTACTCTAAGATCTAGAGCGAACCGGTGAAAACGAGCCCAGATCTGCCTAAATCGCCTTCGAACCGTTGCTAGACCGCGAGAATACCTGCAAAAACTCAATGCCGGAGGTGTTTCCGGCGTAGCCTCCGACGCTCAAGTCAGTATGTGAGAGAGATGAAGACTGCTCTGAGAGAGCAGCAGCTATGGAGGAGAGTATGGAATGAATGGGAGTTAGGGTTTGGGAGTTACCTCAGCTCCTTTATATAGAAGCAGGACATTTACCTGAAGTCCTCAAAATGCCCTGGCCGACTTACGGGAAATGTCCAAAATACCCTGGTCGATTCGCATTCCGTCCATCTCCTAGTCATCATCCAGATTCCTTCTTATACTTGACAGCTTTATTATGATATGTTGAAGTATATAGGAGTCGTCGGAGGTCTTGGAGCCTCGAGGCGTCTTAAGTCGACTTAGGGTATTGTCGAGTCGACTTAGGTAATTCTTAAACGTCGGTAGATCGTGTTGCGTCTATCCATCTTTCTGAGGAAAGTCGACTTCTGGAGGTCGACTTCTGGAGGTCGACTTGGAGAGTCACCTGGACCTCGTTAGGCCGGACACAGTTCTTAGGAAATTCATAGGAAGAGTCGACTTTACGGAAGTCGACTCGATGATGTCAGTTAGGTTAGGTCGACTAACATGCTTGTCGTTCGATCGTCTATTTAGATTGAACTGCTATGCCTCAGTATGGCTATATCGGACGTTGATGAAGAGCTCATGCGAGAGATGACCCTTGTACAGGGGGGCCCCAAGGTAAGGGATGGGTAAGTCCCCCTGACGCAGGCCACGGGAGGATGGGAAGAAGGTCGTGGGGCTACCATTAATCAAAACAGAGAACGTGCAGTGCTCCACACACGCCTCAACAAAACTAATCCAACGGTTGGGGAATCCCATCCTAAACAGCACCTCCCTGAGAAACGACCACTCGACCCTATCATATTGGAGATTCTTTGTTTCTCTATGTTTTTCTGTGTGTTATTATCCCTTAAGGATCTAGATTCTCCTATTGGAGATGGGTATTATAGTGGGTGTGTTGTGGTGTTTAGGATCCTTTTGAGATGTCCTCCTTACTAGATTCGACTTTTGGCAGACTTCAAGTTGTAATTAATTGATCTATTTATAAAATTCTACTGTTTTGACAAAAAAAAAAAAAAGTCAATAATTTATCTAGTCGTTATTCACAGTCCTATCCCATTACCAATCGTATCTCAGACGAGAAAACTTCAAACTTGTCATCTTTAAACGTAATTCTTCTTTTGTGATCCTTGAAACAATTCACTACTTCAATAAAAGTTCAAACTTGTCATCTTTAAACAATTTTCTTCTTTTGTAATCCTCAACCAATTCACTACTTCTGCACCTGGAATACATGATTATTCTTTTGAAGAAAACCCTTAGCTAAAAAGGAAAAAAAGGACTTCAAATATGAATCCTTATTACTCTCTATAATAAAACCTCATGCAAAGGACTCCAGTTTAACTATACAAAATTCAAAAACAATCCGCTAAACCTATCCTCAAACTTTTTTACAAGTGACTAGCCTTCATTGCAAATAATCAAAAGGCCAACCCAAAATTTACAAAAAAATATACAAAAGAAAATAAAAAAGAAACAACCAAAAAATTAATTAAAAAAAAAAACTAATCTGGCACTAGTTATTTACTAATGAGGAAACTTTCCCGTCTTTCGCATATGGTCCAACGTCCTCTGCAACCCGAATCTAAGCACAGCCTGATGACCGGCTCTGAATCCATCCCCGTACACAGCAGATGTATCCGTTGCAATCTGGTGTTTGAAAAACTTGCTCAGTTTCTTATCAAAGGGAGACCTGCCCGATTTTCTTGATGATGATGTGGACGCTTGGTTGGTGTCCGACATGGACAGAATCTGGGATTCCAGCCACATACTCGCAATGACCTGGCATATGCCCTCCTCCACGTCCTGTCCCAGGTTACGGAAACCTGTTGTCACACGGTAAAACATATCAATATCAACATAAAAGAGGTGGAAATTACGGAAATAGCCATGAGACCTCTGCATGCCTGGGCTTGGGTATGTGAAAAATATTCTTGGAAAAAAAAAATGTAAAATATTCTAGTAGATGAGAGAAAATACAAATAAGTAAGAATGGGTTTGATCAAGGGAAGGGAAAAGTACCATTCAGCCGCAACCAAGCATGCATCATCTCATGAGCCAATATTGTCCCAGTCAGCAACCTGAATGCATGCAATTACTCAACTATGAGAGAGAGAGAAAACAAATAAAGATCATCGAGTGAAAAAATAAAAAATAAAAACTAAAAAACCTTGGGAGACCGTATAGAATGAGAATTGCCGTCACTTCACAATGGCGAGTTAACTTATACGGTTCGGTTCTCACACGATTGCCAGTTCCAATCCTCGGGCGCCCCAATATCTAGAGAACCAAATAGTCCAGTAAGAGAAGCAGACACAAGTTAAGATTGCAACTTTCTCAAAAAATAACAAAACAAATGACAAACGAGGGAAAACAGCATGAGGTCTTACAGTGCTGATTGTTTGTTCTTCAGACAGACAAATGCCTCGTGTCTCAGGCATGTGATGATGCCCCTGTTAAGAAAATAGTAACTGTAGTTATTATGATCATACATTAATAATTAATAATGCCACTTCTTCTCATTTATACCTACAGAGCCACTTCTTCAAGGTAACACAATAAGACATGCTAAGCAGAAGTTATTCCTCATAATTCAGTTTATTTGGCTTGATAGAGAAAAATAATATCATTTTCCAAACTTCTACAAAATAATCTTAAGATCTATAAACACCTCCCTAGGGAAGATAACCAGAAATTTGAAAGATTGCCAGAATTTTTCTGTAATTCAACTGAACATCAGGGTGCAGTTGTAATAATTCCAAAAGGTTCATTATTTAACAAAAGATATTTCTTACATGTCTCTCCCCGCCAATGGCGTCATTGAGCGCCTGTTTCTCGACCAAGAGCAATGGGACTTTTTGAGTAACTTTCATATTTAATTCCTTGAAAAAGTCCTGTATCTCGTAAAAAACGGGTTGGCACTCGTTGGTATCCATAATAGCCGAGTCCAGGCACTCCAAGCACAGCTTTCGGCCGTCATTGAGGATGGCAAATTTTGCATCCCATGTCTGCAATAAGAACAGACCCTCGATGATAATTATATATAGAAATTACCCTTTTTCTTTGGCATTTTTTTTTTCTTAGTTCTTATATTTTTTTAGACTTCTTTTGTGTGGAGATTCACATGTACAAATTCCAACTTGCCTCCATTCGCTCACAACTACAGCATCTAGGAGTCCCGTCGTGCTCGTGTCTAGGACAGTATTTCTGAGACCAGAAAGGATGTGCTCTGTATTCAATAAGACCAGCTGCATTTGTTGGAATCTGTAGTTGTAAAATAAATGTCTTAATAAATAGAGAAAGAAAGTTTTGAAGACAAAACCAACATTGACTCACTTTTGCCTTTTCCATTCCACTTCCAATTGTTATTTCAGATAAAAATAGATTAAGTAACAAATTATTATCAGTTAGCACACGAAATTAGAACACTGTTGCCCCTGTACTATGTGGGTTGGAAGATTTCTTAATATCTTGAATTCAAACTTTAAGTCATTATGAATGACGCGGACGACAATGATTTTTGAAACAGAAAATAAATGTAACAGTCAATGGCATCAAACACTTACAAAGTGTCGGCATATATCGCATTTTGGATAGTGAACCTCCTTGTAGCAATTCTTATGATATGTACTGTTTCCAGAAACTGAAAACTGCATTACAAAATCAGCAACTTCCATTAGTCTAATTTAATAAATAAAGTTAACTTGAAAAGCTGTTATAAAAGCAGAAATCAAGATAATAAATAAAGCTTACTTGAAAAGCCATTAAGTACAAATGAAAAATAAAAATGTCAAGTATATGTTTATAGGCCATTTCTAGAAGCTCTGTACCTCATAATCAGATATAGGTTGGTTACATCCACGGCATCTAAAACATTCCGGGTGCCAGACAGCATTCATGCAATTCAAATATCTTCCATAGCCAATATCCTGATTACAACCAGCACAAATCCTACCACAGCAATTGCAAAACAAATTACTACAGTCTTTTGCTTATCCGATCGGTGTGTGAGAGAGATCTATGAAATGTACATGATTATAGTTGTAAAAAATGTCCCCAAAGTTTAGCCTCATAAGTAATCACAAAAAACTCCAGTTATCTTTCAAAACCTTAAATAAACACATCCCATTTGAGAGTCGATATTGTAAAAGAGAAACCAATATGAAACATAACAGGGTTTTACAAAATTAGGCTAATCCTTGGTGACAGTTTTTGAAATTACACCAGAATACTACATAAATATATCCTGTCAGATTTGGATTGCATGATCATGGTTCTCATAAAAGTAAAAGAGAATATATCCTAATTAACCCCTCACTGAACAGCACTCTCAAGAGTTGTATGTACCTGAAGCTGGTGGAATAAGGGATAGTTATAGGTTGGTAAAGGTTATCATATCCATATCGATATCCGTATCCGTATCCGTTTCCATTTCTATTCCACAGCTCGGGCTGAGACTCGTCATTCAAACTCTCTTGAATGGCTCGGGCAAGTAATTCGTCTTCTTTCAGTTGAGGCTCCCTATCTGCACCACATTAAATGCATTTCTTAAAGAGACTCCACTAAGAAATAAGAAACTACTTATAGTAGTAGAAATCACTCACTATAAGACAACTAGTTTTATTGTTTTGCCGATAAAATTAATTAAAACTATAAAACTACCCTAAGATTTATCATAATTAGAAAAGTTCCAGTTATCCTTTAAATTACAAATGCACACCTGAAGCTTTAGAGATATCCCCTTGAGAATTCTATTTGTAAAATCAATTCCCCCTCAACAGGGTGTAATTTCTGAAGTAGATGAACAGATAGACATATTAATTACCGATCACGGATTTTCCTCTCTGATCTTGTTCCGAAAGAGATAATGCAATAGCACGGTCCATATCTTCAGTCTCTGACAAAGAATTCTAAACCAACATACAAATATGTATAAACATTGTGCAGAAAGATTTTCCAATCCGCACATTAACAAATTATGGGGAAAAAAACAATGAGGTTTGATTGCTGAAATTTTCCAAGTAATTATTATCTAAATGGAATTCTGTTTTAATTACAGACTAGTTGAACCAAATAGGTAACAAAGTTGAATCTCAGAGACTGTACACACGCAGCCTAAAGTCGAAACACAACACTAATAAAAAAACTAATACAAAACCTAACAAGCTCCTACATGGTAGAATAAAACACTCCAACAATGGAAAATAAAACAAACACAAGAAGAACACAAACTAAAAAACACTAAAAGAATAAAAATATTTCATAATTTTGAAACATCACTATTTGGCAAAAAAAATAATAATAAAATGAACTCTCGGAATTAAGTATAATAGAAACCAGCAGGAATGCTTCCAGAAAACACCGCAATATATTACGTCAACCATCAAGATTTCAAGCGAAAAGGATAAGAGAAAAGATAAAGTTCAAGCCAAAGTATTTAATGCGCTTTACAGCCGATTGCATACAATGACGGTGATGACTACAAATTACTAGTCAGACCTATAAGGAAACAAGGGAGAAAACTAAGAAATAAATGCATACCGATGAAGTAGATTGATGATTATCTACAGTATCTGCCCCATATCTCCAATCATACTGCCTTTCTGAAACTTTATGGTTCGAACCTTTGAAGATTTTGCTAAGCCAGCCCATCAGGCAAACCTTTACTTATCAATATAGTCAAAAAAACTCAACCTGTACAAAAGAATACTAAAGAATCAGCAATAATAACATGCAGTTTATAAACGGGGAAGCAAAGAAAGAAAAAAAGAGGTACCTAGTGCCTTTTACCATATACCTCTTCTATTTGAAACTATCTACTGATACTTTGAGCACATGTTTTTTCTGTTCACTGGACTATAACATATCAGACAGGACAGGAAAGCCTCACAAAAGCCCAGTTTAGTTCACGCAATAACTTACTGAGACAAACAGAGATAACAAGATAACTGTAAATTAAAAATAATCTGTCGTCTGCACTGGTATTTTCTCCAGCTACTAGACCACTAATGGTCGCATTCAGTGCAACAAATTAACTAGATAAAACAATTATCTTAATAACAACTATAATTAGAGGTGGGATTTGGACTCAGGAGAACCAGTTCATACCAGAACCAGTTGGTTCGTCTCAAGAAAATTAAACAAACCCAATTCCATTAACTCTAGTTAACAAGCCAACAAGGCGACATTCGAACCGAGGCTTTGTACGTAATACTTGTCCAGTTGAATTTGATGACTTTCAAATCCTCATTTCCCTCAAAGTTATGATCTCACATCTATTCTTCTTAAGAAATCAGAAGTTGGATCAAAGCAATTTGATACCGACAATCAAGAAGCAATCCGTAGTAGAAGTTACGGTCGAAAAATTGTATTTCAGTATGCAACCTTGTAGAGAACAGATAGCCAAATGAAGCTTAACCAAAAGCCAAGAAACTCACATGTGGGGAATTAACAAGGTTTCAAAGGCACACCATTCAAATACCAACTAAAAAATCAATCTTGAATACAGGAAGTTCAAATGCTTCAATAAAATCGAACACATTATTGCACACGCAGAACAAAAAGTATGGTCTCAAGTTCAGATGATCTAACTCAATCTGCATTCTCAAATTCTAAAAAAAATAAAAAAAATTAAAAGAAATATATCGGAATAATAATAATAATAATAATAGCTGACCTGACAATAGAAGGCTCTGAGGATCAGATGAAGAAAAAGAAAGTTGCAGCCCAAGAAGAACGATACCAAAAATATTCTGAAAACCAAACTTTTTAACGCTATTTCAATCCAAAAGATAGAATCTTTAAAGCAAAAGGGAAACTTTTTTTCAAAAGAGTAATGAATAAATTTTAGATTATCAATTCGCCGTGGAGAGAAGGAGTAACCTTTAATAGAAAGTAATCTAGCAAGAAAAAACGATGATGAATTGCGCAGAGTTTTCTCCTCAAACGTTCAATCAGTGATAAAGAAACCCCAAATCTAGTGGGAAAACGTGTTCGGCTGTATTCTGTGCGACGAATATTCAAAAACTACAACTGCAAGATTTTCGAAGTCAAACGCAAGACTATAAAATATTTTTTCTTAAATAAAATTAATTATTAAAACCCTCTTAATTATTATAAATTTTAAAATTTTCGAGTGTTTGAGGCTACATACATTCCAACATCACATCATCTCCAATGCTCAAAACACATTTATTAATATCACAATTTTTCATCTTTCAATGTAAAATATGATCACAAATGTTTTGATAATATGAACATAATTATTATCTACAGTGTAGAGAAGAATATGGTTCGTGCACATTCTACTCTACATTCTAGTTAGTCAATAAAGAGAAGAGGGAGAATTATTATTACTATTTTCAAATTATTTAATTATTTAATTAATTTTATTAATTTATATTAAAATTTTATTATTTGACATTTAGATAATATTGTAATTAGGCAACATTGTGCATTGGAGATGATTCTTTGATTTAATAGTTGTGAACTCAACATTTGTCTTACATGGTTCACATCTTATTTAATTTTTTCACATTTGTCAAAAAAAATTTTATAACAACATTAGAACATTGAAGATGCTCTCATGTGTTTGTACCTTGTAGTGTACAAATTAATAAAAATTATATAAACTAATATATTTTTATTTGTTATTATTTTTCATATATGATATAAAACATTAATAATCTTTTGACGACATTGAATTTTACATCTATATTATTGGTATTAGATACTATACCAGGCTAGTACGACCCAGAGATTCGAATCAACCAAGTGGACCGGAAAATCGATTGGACATCAAGGATACCTGAGGTCGAAGAATCACTAGGTCGAGGGCGACCTCATAGGTACAGGATCTCACCAACAGGTAGGGGTGAGCGTGGGTGGGTACGGTCGGAGATTGATAAATCTCTAGAACCGTACCTAAATTTGGAGATCCAAAATATTCGATCTCCGGAACCGTACCAAAAATTGGTTCGGTTCAGTTTGGTTCGGAGATTTTTATTTTTCGATTCGGTTCGGTTCGATATTCGGGACTATTGGGACAGTGCGGTATGGTTTGGTTCAGATCTTTGAAGATTTTTTATTTTTTTTATTTTTTTAATGACTACCTAGTTATATTTTATTTTTTATATGCTTTAAAAAAACAACATTCATCAATAATTCATCACATTGAAGAGTTATTTGAAATCAATTTTAGAAGTAATTCTAAATTTTAGTTATTCAATTTTTATATGCTTTAATAAAACCAACATTCATCAATACGTCTTCATGTTAAAGATTTTATTTTGAATTCAACTTTAGAAGTAACTCTAAATTTTAATTGAGACTAAATTTGTGAAACTAATTTTGGTAATTTAAAATTCAAACAAAATATAATATTTTTTTTCTTAAAAAATTATTCTTTAACCTTTCCTATTATTTTAAATAATTATTTTATAATAGAAAAAATTTAATTGTAGATCAACCATTACTAAGCATTTAAATGAAAGTTAAAATTAATTACTATATTATATAGGATCAAAGTTGACAAAAAATATATTAATAACACATCTAACTTTATAATTCGATTCTTAATTTCGCTTCTTCGGTTTGGTATAGTATGAGACGGTTCAGTTCAGTTCAGCTCTCGGTCCAAGGATTTGTGAAATCTCCAGAAACCGTACCAAGTATTTTTTCGATTCGGTTCGGTTCGGAGAAAGTCAAACGGTCAATGGTTATTTTTCGGTTTAGAGTGATTTCAATTTGGTTTTCGGAACGGTTCAGAATCTCTGAGTCCCATGCTCAGGCCTACCAACAGGTCAAGATAGGGTTCTTGGCTATTGATAAAAACTGGACCTGAATGTAATCAAATCGACGACGAGAGAGAAAAACCTTGTTCAAAGAAAGTTGATGTAACACCCTATTTTGATTTTAAAGAAATCCCGAGCTTTTTTAAAAATCAAGACAAATTTTTCGAATTCATTTTCGAAATCAAGGGCATTAACCAAAACATTTTCTTAGTCCAAGTTTTATCTGGACCCACGGAGATTCATAAACCCGATTTTCGCATACGGTTTTCATTAATCGAAATCAAAACTTTCCATGAAATAATCAGCTTTAACCAGCAACCATGAACATTCAAAGCATCCCAATATTCAAATATCAAAACAAATTTGAAAGGTTGTTCAACAAGTCTCAAAACATCTCAACATAGTTCATAATAATGCAGAAGCAATAAAGTAAATAAAAGACCACCCACTCGTCTCGCTTCGTCACTCACCAACTGCTTAACCTGTATCCATGAAGAGTAGGTGGGAGCGAACACAAGAGGAAAACATAGTGCTCACCACTATGCAATAACGTTATTCACAGTACTAAATCAGGTATGGTCACAGCATGTATACGAATTAACCATTTATCCCAACTTTCCATCATATATATCATCAATCAAGACTCATGTGCACACTTATAACAATAGACTACTGCTGGTAGACGTATCGAATGCCCCATGGGCTTTTATCGAATGCCCTCGGGCTTATACGTCTAATGCCCCTCGGGCTTCTACACCGAATGCCCCTCGGGCTTCTATCGATGCCAATAGTAGGAGTAAACCCCACGGGTTTTGCTTTACAATTACGGGGATAACCGTTCGACGGCCGGTACAACTCACATCGAAGGCTACGTATTTCATATACATACATTAATCAATGCAAAAGTGGTTATTTATAACATTTAAAGCATGGCAATTTCAAATAAAATCCACCTGGTCAAAAGCGAGTGATAAACGCAAACATTAAAGAGTAGGCGACGAGCTCGGCTCGTCAAACACCTACAAATAGTCAAGATACTGAAATCAATATCTTATATTGATCGTAGAAGAAGCACACAAAATATACTTAGTCGAACTTGATTTAATTAAGTCGTTCGTGAAGTTCTGTGGATGTTGGAACTCTAGGACTTATACTCGAACAACCAAAACAAGGGAGTTCACGTAAATATCACATAATTAGGTTGATCAAGGTGTTGAATTAGTTAGGTTCTGAAACTTTAACATAAAATGTTTCTCTTTGAACTTAGTAATATTACCAAGTTTCAGCCCCAAACTCATTAAACACAATTTTATAAAAATCAAATATGATACCAGCAAAAACGAGCATAAAATTCAAAGCATGACATAACGAACGAGTTAGCACATGCGATTTTTACTGGAGAAAGTTCAGCAATTAAGGATTGACATATAAAAATTTCAGCAATTAACATCAAATACTCAAATTATGAAAATTCATACAAGATTCAGTAGTTTATCAAATTTTAATTAAAATTGAACCAATCCCAACTCCAAAAATTCCAATATTTTTACAGAATGCAAGTACGCATAAAATAAACATCTATTCCAAAAATGAGAATTTTCCAGCAATTAACCATTTTATCAAAATTAAAACATATATCAGCAAAAAACGTAAATAAATTAATTACCCTACCAATATCAGTCCAAAAATTCTAAATATTTTACACAAGGCATATATCAGACAGAAAGACAACCTACTTAAGTTTCAGTAAATTTGGAGCTCGGACCGATTTATTATGAATTAAATACATTTCTTTCCAGAAATCCCTTTAATTTTTAAAAATAGCTACCGTCCGTGAAAAATTATGAACATTTTACACAA